GTCACAGGATTAAAAGGACAAACTATGACGTCATTTGTGAATGAAATATGGAGAGTACGAACAGTAAGCAAGCTCAAAGTCCATTAAAACAATACAAATCGGGAGCAGAGCAAACACGGACCTCCAAAAACATCAGAGGTGGGATCAGGTGTCATGGATGAGTGAGCATCCCCTGCCGACCTGTAGGGTGCTCCTTGTCATTATCGGTAAATCCGGAAAATCCGTCGATAATTCAATGTGTACATGTAAATAATGGCCTAACAATTAGTATGAAAAACGTCAGTTAGCATATGACTTAATGATAGATTGTATTTGCTGACAAGGTCATTGTATCGACCATAGAAGTTACGAAGTGATGATTTTAAACGAGACTGTTGATATTCTTGTTAATCAAATGCTAGAACAAATATCGTGAACATTGCATGTGATTCATATGAAATTTAAATGTATTATTTTTATTTATTTCTTTAAATGAAGATAATCAGCCGTGCACTAACCACGGTTAGCCTTTTCTTTATCATTTTTTGACAGAAAGGTATTGTAAAACATGTACTTTAAAGCAAAAATATCCCATAGTGTATATGGGCAAGTGACAACATCAATGATTGCAAAATTAAGTAATTAACAACGTTATTCAATGATCATGGTGTTATTAAGGTCAAGATATAGTAAATCAAAAGGTACCTACAGATTTTTCAATTTTGAAAATGGAGTTCATTTAATGATCCTTTGCAAATATAACTTGGTAAAAAAAAGGTGTATCGGGATATAATTTTTAAGTAAAGTCACCGAAAAAACATATTTTGAAGCGACATTTTCAAAGCAAAATGAAGAAAGTTAGGTATAAATTTCGGAGTTGTTTATATCTTAGAAACAGGAAATGTACAAATATTGCCCACAGTCGCCCCCCCCCCCAACGTTTTTTTCTTATCTTCTTGGCCTCTACTTTAAGATGATATTAAATTGAACATAGGTATCGGGGTTACTTTTGACATGATTTCAAATTGAATGCCATGAAAATGCTTCATTTTCTACATATTTCTATTAAGGTACTTGTTTACTCAAAATAAAAAAAAAATCCACTGATGATAATCAAAACTCAGCTATTGAATTAGTAAGACATATGTATGTATTGATGAAATCCATTTTAAAACATCTAGGTCAATGACCTACTTTTTTTCCTATGAGCCAATGAAATTATAGCATGAATTCACCATTGTAGATATGAATTTTTAAAGGTTACTTTCATCTTTTACAATATTTTTTTTTTGAGCACATAAATAATACATTTTATCACGGGAATTTTTTATTTAAGGTGTTATCTTAAAAATAACATAAAATCAATTCCAAAATCAATCACGTTTTATTTTCTGCAACTCGAATTTCCTCTGTTTTATAACATTTTATGCATAAAAATGAACCTTTTTCATTCAAATATTCTAAAAATTTGACTGATGATAACTCTAAATGGTTGATTTATACATATAGAAAACACCCTAAAAGAAATAAAAATAAATTACAAAGTGGGTGTCAATGATCAAAATATTGAGATATTTTGTTATAAAATAACCTGAATTTCCTCTGTTATTTTTCAATTTCATACGATATTTCATTATGTTCTCCTTAAGATGTACAATAAAAAAAGTTGATGTACTTAACAAAATCTTTTTCAGGTCACCCTGTCTGATACTTTGAACTGCAAAAATAATTAATTGATATTTTAAAGACAAAGGAAACAAACTTAATTATAATATTTCGAATTTTCTCTATCCTCTTTTCCAATTTTCACACATCTCTCAATCTAAATTATAGTAAAACCGAAAGAGTTAATACAAAATTTCATAACATATAAAACAAGAGGCCCATGGGCCACATCGCTCACCTGAGCACATTGGCTAGGCAAAAGCACGAGTTCAGCATTGAAAAGATTACCACTGCGGGGGGAGGGGGGGGGAATTGAATTTTGAACTACCTGATGATGCTTCTTTGTCAATATAACAAATGGCTTTCTTGTACTTGAGATGTTCAAAAAAAATTTCCCATATATTCCTTTGTAAAAATTTTATCCCCCATTGTGGCTCCTCCCTATCCCAGGGGTCATCATTTGAACAAATTTGAATCTACACTACCTGAGGATGCTTCCAAGATATTATCCTATATATTTCTATTTAAGACTTTGATCCTCCATTGTGGCCCCACCCTACCCCCGGGGGTCATGATTTGAACAAAATAAAATCTACACTACCTGAGGATGCTTCCACATAAATATGACCAATCATAGCTTTGCTGTTCTTGAGAAGAAGATTTTTGAAGATTTTTCCTATATATTCCTATGTAAAACTTTGATAGCGGGGATGGGGTAATCGTAATCGAGTAATCGTAATCGATTGTAATGATTACTTTTTTTTCAAGTAATCGACAGTAATCTGTAATCGAAGAGATTTTCGATTACTTGTAATCGTAATTTAATTGATTACAGCTAAAATTTTCAATGTAATTATAATTACTTTTTCGATTACTTTCGATTATTTTATATATAAATGGATGTTATTTTGGAGAATTATTTCCTGTCATTCACACACAAATATCAAATATAAACAACCTAGTGTAATGTTTGGATTACCTAACTTTTATTATCATAAGTTTAAGAATGTTCTCAATAAAATTTGCATTGTAGACCTACTGGTCTAGTAATAAATAATTCAGAAGTGTATTTCAACTATTTATTAATAAAATATATAGATTTTTTGTATGCATTTTACATTTGACCCATAGTCCTCTTGCTGCATGTCCTTTTTCATATTTCAAATACTGAAAAACTTTGTGGTTGTAATAGAAAATTATAAATAGCAAAAACAGATTTAAGTGCTGTATTAAATATAAATAATTTGGTAAATAAACTACATTGAACTCGGAAAAAAAGAAGATGGAAATACTTATTCATATCTGAAAATGTTTAAACAACTTCAAACTTGTTGTTTTAGTGACTTTAAAATTGGCAAAATCATTCATGTTTTCATTCAAAATTGTAAGGTTTCTTTTGTATCAGTGAGGGGTTATAAGTGTCTGTAAGAGAGGGAGTAAGTGTCACTGTGTTTGCTTATCTTGGCTAATTAATTGACTGAGACATCCCTGACTTGCAGATAATGAGGTGTAAACTGTGAACTACCTAGTATTTAACTTTTATTATTCATAGTTCTATTGAAGACAAACAATATTATTAAAACAATTAATAGCTCTCAAAACACTTATTTCAATACAGAATGAAATCGTGCTATTAGTTTAATTACTGAAAGATACATTAAATTTTGATTTACATGTTTATTACTAAGAGTTCTAATTTACTTATTTTTTTTTTAAGAAGACACAAGAATGTTTAATGTGTACTGTCAACATATGGGCAGCCCAAATACTTCTAATGAAGTTATTCACAATAAAATTATTTTATAATAAATAATTTTTGCAACAAGTCAAATCTGAATATGGAGGTTCAGATCCAAGGTTGAAAGGAATAATTAATTCCTTGACATATTTTATTGTAGGAATCATGTCTCCACTTTTCATGGTACAGAATCCCTCATTTGGGCATTTAGTGAGAATGTTAGTCAGAATAAAACCTTAAAAGAATCTGCACTGAAACTGCAGGAACACATTCAAACTTCAGTGGAATATATCATCAACATTACCATTTAAATATTGCTTTTATATTTGAAGGGATAAAAACTTGGGAGTAATCGATTATTAATCGATTACATCTTCCAAAGTAATCGATTACAATCGATTACAGGACAAAAATGAGTGTAATCGATTAATAATCGATTACACAAAATTCCTTTAAGTAATCGATTATTAATCGATTACATTTTTCAGTAATCGTGCCCATCCCTGTTTGATAGTCAATCATGGCCCCGCCCTACCCCCGGGGAGTCATGATTTGAACAAACTTGAATCTACACTATCTGAGGATGCTTCCAAAAAAATATGACTGATCATGGCTTTGCTGTTCTTGAGAAGAAGATTTTTAAAGGTTTTTCCTATATATTTCCATGTAAAATTTTGATCCTCCATTGTGGCCCCGCCCTACCCCCGGGGGTCATGATTTGAACAAACTTGAATCTACACTACCTGAGGATGCTTCCATATAAATATGACTGATCATGGCTTTGCTGTTCTTGAGAAGAAGATTTTTAAAGGTTTTTCCTATATATTTCTATGTAAAACTTTGATCCTCCATTGTGGCCCCGCCCTACCCCCGGGGGTCATGATTTGAACAAACTTGAATCTACACTACCTGAGGATGCTTCCATATAAATATGACTCAACTTGTCTTTGCTGTTCTTGAGAAGAAGATTTTTAAAGGTTTTTCCTATATATTTCTATGTAAAACTTTGATCCTCCATTGTGGCCCCGCCCTACCCCCGGGGGTCATGATTTGAACAAACTTGAATCTACACTACCTGAGGATGCTTCCCCTTGAGTTTCATCTTTCCTGGCCCTGTGGTTCTTGAGAAGAAGATTTTTAAAAGATGCTATTAATTTTTCACTAATTCTCTATTATCTCCCCTTGAAAAAGGGCGTGGCCCTTCATTTTAACAAACTTGAATGCCCTTCACCCAAGGATACTTTGTGGCAAGTTTGGTTGAAATTGGCCCAGTGGTTCTTGAGAAGAAGTCGAAAATGTTAAAAGTTTACAGACAGACAGACAGACGGACAGACAGACAGACGGACGCCGGACAAAAAGTGATCAGAAAAGCTCACTTGAGCCTTCGGCTCAGGTGAGCTAAAAACACATTCCATAAAATTTAAAATAAATTTTAAAACATTAAGTCAAAATAAATTAATAATTTACATGTTATAACTATAATGATTAATAAGTTAAAAATGAATTACTGCATGAACAAAGTAAAAGAATGTACTTTTTTCTTACATGACTTAACATAATCCATTTCAAGGCAAAATATAAATTTTCATATAATTTAACTAATAATCATCTTCTTTCATTAATTTTGTATGTATGACCTCAATGTTTGTTAGGAAAATACAGGAATGCAACACTCCAGGCCTTATGCATGTAGTGATCAGACATTTAACTTTCATTTAAAGACATGAAAAACTGTGTAACAATATCAATAATTTTCTTGCACTTCGTAACTCTGACAGATTTGTTGTCACACTGCTCAGTGAATAGATTGTTAATTCCATCAGGACTTCTAGAATGTGCTAATCTGAGACAATCAAAATCTAGGCCACTACCTGCCACCTTCCTTGCCATTCTGACACTCAGAACATTTTTATCAATTAAACATTTTAAGGATGGAATGTTTCTATCTACAACTTTCTGGTAGTTATGGACACTCAAAGCATACTGAGATGTAAATGTAGAGGATGAATGTTCATCATCACAAAAATGAACAGTGTCAAATAACCTTTGTAAAGCTGAAACATCCTCTACAGCATCATGTGCATTGTAAGTACAATTTAACAACACTTCTGATAAATGTTCCTGTCTATATGAACACAAATTGGGATGGACAATTTTGAATAGAAATTTGGTATCTAAAAAACCTTGTACACATTTTGACATTCGATCTAACAGAGAGCAAGAATCTAGAGCATGAAAAAGAACATGAACATCAAAACTTTTGATATTGTGGCCAACTAAAATAACACTGCCTTGCTTCTCAATAAAGCTTAAAAAAGAACCAAGTGCACTTGAAATTGAAACAGCATTGACTTTCCTCTCATGGTGATAGAGGGTTCCATTATCAAGCTTTAGGCCAGTAACTGTGGAGGCAGAGGGTGTGATTTGCTTCTTAGGCATTACATAGGAAAAAAATGTCTCCTTCCCACAAATGGCAGCCACCTGCAGAATGTGTGATGTTCTTGCTGAAATAAAAAAGAATCAGCATTGACATTCATTAAATAAAAAAAAAACTAACAAAATCAACTATGGCATTCATTAACCTTTTTTTTTTTTTTTTTTTTTTTTTTTTTTTTTACCAAAATCAGCATTGGCTTTCTTTTATGATTTTTAATACATAAGACAACTTTTTTGAAGTTTTCCTTAAAATCAATTGTACAGATTTAATTTAGAGAAATAGAATTCATCAATACCAAGTCCTGTTGTTTCCAGGTCAAAGAAGACAAAATTTTTGTCTTTGGTTGACAAACTCTGTGGTTGTGGTGCAGATGATGGTGGTGGAATTTCATCAACTACAGTATTGGAATCAGAGATTCCAACTCCAGACTCATATGTAGGCCCCTCTCTTATCTCTTTACATGCTGTAGTCTGGCATCTATAAAGGCAATAAAATTTTAAATATCAATAACTGAGCTATTTGAAACTTCAAAACAAAATTGATTTTCAAAACTTATCAAGAAGAGCAAAGTAAATATATACAAGTATGCATGAATTACACAACTAATTTTTTTCTGTCTATATTTAATACTATCGTTTTATACACCTTACAAAAATTATGATACAGTAAAGCTCTAGGTGTGTGACAGACTGAGTAGTCCAACACAATCAAACCCCACAAAGTGGTTGGAGGTAGACTAATACTTTTAATAACTTTAAATTTTTAAAATCTCACTTCTTGGCTTTCAGTTGCATTCTTTTCCTCTTTGCATTCTTTGTTCTTGCGATGGCTTTTCTCTTTCTTGATTGAGAATCACGCAAATAGCAGAATTTCCTTGTGTGCTTTCCTGGGGAGAGACCAACTCTTCTGTTCACCTATTAAAAGTAGAATGTTTTAATATTAAAGTTCAATAAATAATTTATCACTGACTCAATGGTGTTCTAAATATTCAATCTATGACATGTTAAGTTGTCATCATCACTCAAATGCAGAACTATATATGACTTACCTCAACCAGATATGTCTGCCCTGCATTTTTCTCTGCAACACTTGCTGAAACTCTGTAACTGAGGCTTGCAGATCCACCAAAGTGATGATTCTTAGGAGCTTTTAGGGAGACAGATTTGTTGAATGCTTCATTTGCTTGTGTACTTCCTAATCTTGAAAGTTTGGAAGTGTCCTTCAGTAGCTTGGAGCAGATAAGTTGAATGGACTCTTGAAGATGGCTGTCCTTGAGTGGTTTCCCATATGGCAAAGCAGAATATTTCTGTTTCGGATTGCTGATATGGGAACACCAAGATTCATTGCAAGCACTGTGATCTCCAAAAGGGTGTCTGCTTAGTGCTTCCAACCCTCTCTGTACTCCCACCGGATTCCCTTTGTTTTGTGATATCATGTAATTAAAACATTTTACTAAGTACCGAATAACTTTAGTACTCAGTGATCTGTGTTTTAATTGTAAACCATACAAATTTGAAGAGAAAATTTTCCTTATATGGTTTTTATCACTAATCTTTGTAATGTTTTTGTGGACGTTTCTCAAATGGCAAAAGGTAGTGGTGTCCTCATCTGCAACCACATTTGTTATGTTCACCCCTTCTTCCATTTTTCTGGAGACCATTTTAGCTACCATATCCTTTTCCATCGCCTTAGAGCTTCCTATATAAAAGAAGTCCAGTAAAGCTTGAGATGAAACTATTGTAGTTAGTTAAATGTTTTATGTGCTACTAGAACTGTTTATATTTTACAATATACACTCTACAACTCATTTCAAATGGATCATTTTGCAGAATTCCCTCAAATAAAGTCAAGCATGGGGTTATCAGATAAAAGTAATCTAATAAATAAAGTTACCTATGTTATTATTGATGGGTATTGCCAAAATTTTATATTGAAATATATCACAATTTAAAAACGATATCATGATAATACATGTATCATGATATTTTTACATATAATTTTTGCTATGATTTTAAATGAATTTCCATGATTTTTTTTCTAACAAATACAGTGTGAAAACATAACTTCACTTTTTCATTTTTATTTACATGTATATACTAATAAAGCATGTTTGTATTCTTGGATGTTGTTGTTTTACAGTATTTTTTAAAATTCCTGTGCGTTGACATGTTGCGTGTTAGTGTGATTTCGTGTTGTGGGAAGTTGTGTTCACTTGATGTGTTGTTGTTTGTAAGCGCAAAGGCCTGCTTTTCTGAAATCACTGGTGAGCTTTTGTAAAAGGCCCTATCTGGACACCATACTCATGGGATATATTGTTTCACATGTCTTGCACAAAATAAATTTGCTTGTTCTGTTTTCCACAAGTGCTTTCAAGCAGTTTTAAGTACATGCATTTGCATGATGATTAGTTATTATTGAAAGTGAGAATAATAGAGAGAAAAGGATAGGTGGGTCAGTTCTCTCTCTCAGAAAATAAAATACCTTCCCAGTTTTTTCGGCAGTCGTGATCTTTGGGGTCTTTTCCACTTCTTGTAGCACTCTCACAAATTTTGCAGCATTTTGTTCGTATATCATAATCAATGATTTTACCTGTCTGAGATCCAATCATTGAGCAATGACCTAATATTATTGTTTCAAATAAAAAGTCATGCAGATTGAGTTATCTTAGGAATGAATTTGTGATAAAATATATAAATAATAGGTTTGTTATGAAATACATTTCTTATAAAATATATAAATATTGTATAAAATAGGTATAACTATTATAATTCAAAATAATTTAAACAATTGAAGTTTTACTGTGTTAAACATCCAACTCCTTTTTAAAAGAAAACTAGAGGTACTGTGAGCAATGAGCTCACTAAATGATATCCCCTGCCTTCCACATGATTATAAAGGCAAGGTCCATGTTTTGCTCTGGGAGACCTGAATATGTGTCAGATCAAAAAGTAAAATAGGTGGTGCACAATTTACAGCCTCATGCATCCTCCGGGGCATGGAGAAGATAAGTAAGTAAGTAAGTACAATGGCACTATGAAACAAAGATTCTGTGAAAGTTTCATTAAATTTCATCCAGTGGTATAGGAGGAGTTGCGGATAAGAGATGGGTACCCTCCAATATTATAGAAAGAATGGCAATGTCCATATTTTGCTCTGGGAAAACCAAAATATGTGTCCAATCAAAAAGTAAAATAGGAGGTCACAATGGCACTATGTACCAAAGATTCTGTGAAAGTCTCATTAAATTTCATCCATTGACCAGTGGTATAAGAGGAGTTGTGGATAAGAGATGGGTACCCCAAAGCATAACAGACGGACGTACAGACGGAAGGACGGACAGATGGATGGACGTACAGACAGACGGACATACCGATCACTATATACCCTCTCACTTTTCAAGTGGGGGGTATAAAAAATTATGCACAACATACCAGAGAGGCTGTCAAAGGATCGCCCACTGCCTCGTTTCTGCCAACCTGCATCAACACTGACTGTTAGCTCGTCTGTACCTTCATACCTTAAAAATCACAGGAAAGCCATCAGAAACATGAAGCTAGTTAGTTTTTCCCACCTTAATTGTGGTTAATCTCTTAAAATGAATATTTTATATAATAATAGGTTACTGTGTTGTATATCTTTAGGAAAACTATTTTAAAATCTTTAATTGAAAATGATAGGATTTACTGCTTACAGGTAATATGTTTAAGTTGAATATATTTGAGAATAGAAATATTAAAATTTTAAATGACATCGTCTATCCATTTACATTCTGATAAACACATTATAACTTCATTTAAATCATATATATTTTAGTGTTCTAAATATTCAAAACCAAAATTTTCATATTACAATGGATGTGTTTTTCTGCATGTACATACTCTACAGTTGCCTGAATTTCTTCATGAAGGCTGCTTCTGGTAGTTTCTACTGCAATTTTCTCCATAACTGTTCCTGTTTCATTTTGTCTGTTTTGCAGTGTCCTAGAACTGATTGGGGGGATATTTAATGATGCTAAAAGTGCATTCACCTGAGAAGGCCCCATGCCTGTATGCACCATTCCTAAAAATATATAATTCAGATGTATTTATGAAAAATAGAATATATTCATGACAGGAAATTAACCTGGTCCTTTCATAATATACATGTACTGTAACTGAAAAATAAATACAAAATATGTACCTGTGGCAAGCTTGGTATTTGCATCCCATATCTTTCCATGGCGTTTTCCAGTTGCTATTTTATTTACATGCTGACATGTTGTGTTTTGACATTGGACTTTCAGGAATGAACCTAATCCACAAGTTAGAATTCCCATGGTATGAGAAAGATGGAGAGGAATGCCACAAACTTCACAACCAGAGAGCCCATCTGCTAACACCCCTAACTCAACCACCCTTCTTCCTTCTCTCCAAGCAGTGTCATATCTTTAGAAAAAGTGTTATTTGCATTAAGTTAAATGATCAATAACAATTATGCACTGAGCATGCAATTAAACTGAATCAAAATCCATTTTTATAATCCTATATCATAATTCATATATAAAGATCGAAATAAAAAAAATATTTGGCAGTCAAAGCAATCATTACAAGTTCATATCATTTTAAACTATACTTTATTTATGCATTAAAAGTGAATAGGATTCAGCAGTTGAGCAGGTTACATGTCACTGACATTGTCAGATTAACAGCTGATGGATTTGGTTATTATTTCCCTCGACCTCTTTTTCTGTGTTCATATGTAGGCAACAATATTTTTGCCGAAAGATTTACATGTATGTATTAACACCTACAGAAAACTCGTTTCTAATAATTTATGGTCTTTGACTTAAGCATTACCTAGAATTTTCTAAGTCGTTGAAGGAGACGGGAACGTCGCTACCTGCCGGTTCTGGAACAATTACATGTATGTTGTCATCATGTCCAGTCTCATCCTCGGTAGACCGATTGACATCATAATTATGGTCTAAATTAATCCTACTTACTGACCAGCGATTCGTGAGCAGCTGAGAATTTGTTAAATGACAGACGATTGTTTACATTTTACCGCGCTGATATACGGCATATATACATGTACGGCATATGTCGTAAACAGTATATTTCCGATAAATTATAAATATTAGAATAAGAAAGACACAAATGTTAGTTGTATATGTAATATGTAACTCTTATATATAGTCTTAAAATACAAAACTATTCATTCACACAACTTTTTAAATTTACGACATTTATAACTACGGCGACCCGTTGTTGTTAAAATATCGTGAGTAAACAAGTACCTTAAAGTACGGGAAAAATTGAGTTTAAATCAATTATGACGTTATATGGATTTAGCACAAAACAGACAGTCTAAACTCATTTAATAGATCTTGACCTTAAAGGTGCTTGGACACAGATTTGAAGTTAATATTTTCTCAGATTTTCTGTATAATGTCATGACTCACATGTTGCTATAGCATTTCATTCTAAAATATGATAAAAATCTTATTTCATCTCGAAGTTATTAAAACTTCGAATTTCTGGACGCGTTGGAATTTACACGTCCTTGCGCTTTCACATATTTTGATTTTATTCTTTGTGCATTAAAGGTGCTTAGACACAGATTTGAACTTAATATTTTCTCAAATTTTCTGTATAATATCACGACTTATATATTGCAATAGCATTTCACATGAAAATATAATTAAAAACTTATTTTATCTGGGAATTATTGGAACTACGCATTCCGGGACGCGTTTGATTAACACATCTTTGCACTTCCACAAATTTTAACTTTATCCTTAATATTTAAGAAAAGAAGCGATTTTGTTATGTATTAATGAAAAAATATTACATCTATAATCCAGTAAATTCAGAGTAGAAATGTTCGAAAGCAAAAACTCACCAGTATTGTCAGTCCGTGCTATGTAATGTGTACAGAGTTTAACAAATGGAACACACTCGTAAAACATAAACTGTTTTTGTAAACAGGGCACGAGCTCTGTTATTGTTAATGTTTACGATTCACCGGGTGTGTTCAATTGTTAAACTCTGCACACACCACTGAGCACGGACTTACAATACTGTGAGTGGGTTTTGCTTTCGAACATTTCTACTCTGAATTTTCTAGGTTAAAGTTTTAATATTTTTCATTAAAAAACAACAGAATTGCCACTTTTCTTAAGCATTAAGAATAATATTAAAATATGTGAAAGCGCAAGGATGTGTCAATCCAACGCGTCCAGAAATTCGAAGTTTTGATAACTTCGAGATGAAATAAGATTTCTATTATATTTTAGTATGAAATGCTATAGCAACGTGTAAGTCATGACATTATACAGAAATTTTGAGAAAATATTAACTTAAAATCTGTGTCCAAGCACCTTTAATGAAAAATATTAAAACTATAACCCAGAAAATTCAGAGTAGAAATGTTCGAAAGCAAAACCAACTCAGAGTATTGTAAGTCAGTGTTCAGTGGTGTATGCAGAGTTTGACAATTGAACACACCCGGTGAATCATAAACATTAACAATAACAGAGCTCGTGCCCTGTTTACAAAGACAGTTTATGTTTCACGGGTATGTTCAATTTGTTAAACTCTGTACACATCACAGAGCACGGACTGACAATACTGGTGATTTGGTTTTGCTTTCGAACATTTCTACTCTGAATTTTCTGGATTATAGATCAGGGTTTGACATTAACTTTTATGAGTACTAGACCAGTCGGGCTACTTCCCATAATTTTTACTAGCCCTGACCGTAAAATCGCTAGCACCTAACATGCAAACTTAATTTTTATAATCGCCAATTTTGAAGTCCTCTCTCAATCGCGCATGGCAAGATTTTGACGACTAGCCAATAAAGTCTGGTTCATCACAACATGGGACTATTGTAAGCAATGAACTTTAATAATTTTTTTATCCTAAATATAAATAAATTAATTACAGAATATATTTTTCAGTAGCTTTTTTATACCATATTGATACTGAACGACGCTAGTGTCTACCCTGACTTGTCTATTACATTTACAGCCGTAACCACTGGTTACTGTATTTTCATGGCCAATCTCTACACGTGAGAAAAAGTACAATCTGCTTGCATGAAACGAAATATGAGTTTGATTGAAAAGGAAATATAATACTTTTGAGAAATTATAAACTTACTATTTTTTAATTAATGGGGGGGGGGGGGGGTGTCGATGCACACTTCAGGTGCCTGTGGCTTAAAATAGCAATTGTGTCATACGGGGAATTTTTTTTTTACAGTGTTTTCAATTGGACAAAATTTCTTTAAAAGTTTTTTTGTATATTTATTTGGAAGACTGAAATGTGGTTTAACAGTTATTTTAGCAACACGACCAATCGGTCTAGTTACATTTTACACGACCGGACCACTCATTTACTAGACTGGGTCGGTCGGACGTGCCTTATTGTCAAACCCTGTAGATGTAATATTTTTCATTAATACATAACAAAATCGCTTCTTTTCTTAATATTAAGGATAAAGTTAAAATTTGTGTAAGTGCAAAGATGTGTTAATCAAACGCGTCCCAGAATTCCTAGTTCCAATAATTTCAAGATAAAATAAGTTTTTAATTATATTTTCATGTGAAATGCTATTGCAATATATAAGTCGTGATATTATACAGAAAATTTGAGAAAATATTAAGTTCAAATCTGTGTCTAAGCACCTTTAATAGCAAATATATGATTGCATATATATCTTCCACGATGCGATAAACATTGCCATCATGGAATATGCACGTCGACTGAGCTATTAATGAACACTGAATAACGTTATTTATCTCTTTAAAAATGCCCTATTATAGATGAATTTGAACTGAATAAAATATTTATAAAATTATTCGTATTGGCTACCAGAAAGCACAGAATTGCAGAAAAACAGAAAAGAAGATTTAGAATGGGTTTTCAAACTTGCCTTACCTGCCTCACTTTTAGCAGCAGTTTTGTTGTTTGTAATGGTTCTAGGAATCGCCTACAGGTATGCTGTACGATCTAGAAGGCTGTTTTGCAAATTTTCTTTCTTGAAATTATTTTTGCTTTTAAAAGCAATTATATCGACATAACATCGTACATAAGGTCGTTATTTTCTAAGTAGTATTACTTTGATGTGGATGATTAATATAACAATAAATTTTTACTTAGAATAACAAACAAACGCACCACTGAAATTCCAAATGCAAAGAATTCTACTGATGGTAAATAGAAAAATACATGTATATTGTCCCATTTCATTTTTCTATCTAACATTTTTTGTGGAGTGTTATGATTTATGACAAAAATATTTTAACGTTGCCTCCTTTTTTTTCAAAGATGAACAAGGGGAGACGAGTTCTACAGATATATATGCTGCGGTAGTACGTCCAAACCGGAAACCTATAAGGGATATTCTACAAAATGATATTACCTATGGCAATACCTTGCTTTTTAAAGCACCAAAAACAGAAGGATATAGGTCACCTGCCTTAAGAAGAAAGAATTCGTTAACATATAAAGACAAACAAACGCTTCGGGACCTGAACTCCCCATACAGCATGTGTAGAGGACTAGATGAAGTGTACGATGACACTGTTTGCATCCCTTCATCCTCAGATCAATTTGACATGCAAAGAGAATCATTAGAAACACATTGATTTTGAAAGAGAAAGTTTCGTTTGAGCTAAATCTGTTATACTAAAAAATTCATACATCAGCAAGTGATATATGAATAATCTGGAATATGAAAGAGCATTTGAATCTGTACCTAGTCTTTATGCTGGAATTATCTGATTCTCCTACTTGAATTTTTTTTGTTGTTCAACGCCGAGTCGATATTTGAAATAGGTGGTAGTTGTCGTTGACGAAATATTTCAAATGAAATAAGAAGATAACGAACAGTAATCAAGCTAAAAAGTCAATTGAATCAATACAAATTTGGAGCAAAGCAAACACAGACCTCTAAAAACATCAGAGGTAGGATCAAGTGCCATGGAGGAGTATATATATATATATATCTGTGTGTGTGTGTGTGTGTGAGGGTGTGTGTGTGTGTGTGTGTATAATGCAGTGGATGATACTTTGGTGGTATTGAACCTTCCATTGTATAAATAAGAATGTACTGTATAAAAAAGGGGGATGTTTGGGGATCGTCTCTGTTACATTTTAAGTAGTAGTTTCTGATGGTATAATCAAATCGCTGACAAGAAAATTTTCCATTGGTAATCTCAAATCTGCGAGATCCTAGAATTATTTATTTCTTTCGTTTTATTTTCTAATTGATTGATAATATTTTGCAAATGTATCAATCATGCACATAGTCCAAAGTTATAAATCAAAAATATAAACCCAATCCTTTTCAAAAATATGTTAGTATTTCATTTCAGTGCGTTCTTGGAAGGTCAAAGTTACCTGATCATGATAAGGCCCGTAAGGTACATTTCAGAGAATACTAGTTTTCTCTTTCTATGAATTGTATTTCATTATTTTGCCCTTTGGACCCAACATTGAAATAAATTAGAATAAATATAAATAGATAAATATGAAATCTATTGAGAATAAATAAATGTTCCACTTAACCTCTGTGCTGTACCATACATCTTCAATATATGTTATTTATATCCTGAAAAACAGAGAAATGCTCAAATACATGTATTTTAATTACACATATGACAAAGTTGTACAATTACACTAGAGATCTAACTTTTTGACTGGAGTTTGAGTCTCTTAGCAAGAGTTTTTTAATGAACGTTTTGAAAAAAACTAAATGCCATGCTACCCCTAATATCTGGGGAGATTCATCGAAATCGAACAAAAATTTTGAAAATCTGAACAAAGTTTATTACATTAAGTTTGTTTTTGATACTTTGTCTAGCTACAATAAATGGACTTTTTAAGTGACCTAGTTTCTGAAATAAGTAAAATGAAATAAAGCCTTTCACAATATAAACCTGCTTATCTAAACTAAAAATAAGCATAATATAAACGTCTTTTAATTAGTACTAGGGTCCAGATTTATCAAATTTATAAAGTAAAGCATAGTTTAATAAATGTATGATTAAATAATGTCAATCATAACTGTAATTTTCAGTGACCACTGAAGCATTTTGACATCATTAGAAAGTGTCAAGTATTTACAATGTTGGCATTCAGTAGTGTAACTTGTACCCCTGCGTAGGGTTCTCAGGGGATTAATTTTTCTCTTTCTCTACCTGAATTTATAATCAAGTATTTCTATATGTGCAGCATAATAATTTTTCTCTAACCTATCTGGGTTTCTATTATCTTTAATTACAGAAAATATGAGGTGGATTGAATTCTAATGACTGAGTAACTCTGGGCTTGGCATCGTGTACCTTGCCCCTGGTTCCTATTGATAGCGGGTACTAAGTGTTTCAATTTTCTTCAGATTTTCAGCCCAACTACGAGGGGTGATCGAAAAGTTCGCGAACTAATTAAATTACTAACTTAAAAGAAATAAAATGAGGTTTCAGTGCTCATTATTTTTTTTAAAGTAGTCCTCTCCGATTATAATGCACATCTGCCATTGTTCTGCCCATGCGCGAATCACGTGATCCAGGCGGTCACGTGACATGCTCCGTGGCGTTCTGTTCACAGAAGCTAAAAGATTTTTTCCGAGTCTTATATTTCTTACCATGCAAGTTATTTTTTTTATAACAAGAACAGTCCATCTGACAAAAATGGCCAAGTCTCGGCAATAGGATGGGTGGATAAGGACATCCCTTCTCTGAGAATTAGCATGGTTATCATCAAAACCTGAGTTCTCTGTCTCCGGAGCGTCGTTTATCCAATGTGGATAAAGTACGGTTAACCTCTTTTTTATCATATCTCATATGTTTAAAGTCAAACGTAAATGATATTTTAGGTAATTAATAATTATGTTATTGTTAAGATATTCAACTATTTTTATAATTGTAACTTGTCGATCTTTCACAACAAATTGCTCAACTAAAGACACATCTTTCGCTGGGCAACAGAACAAACACCATTTTTAACCATCTCCTTGCCTTCACTAAAACAATCAATCCAATTAATGATTGAACTTCTGGTAAGTATTTTGTCTTCATAAACCTTGCACAAAATATCATATTCTATGGCAAAGGAGTTTTCAAGATAAACGTTAAACTTTACAGTCGTTCGTTGCTCGAGTACGACAAAGTCTACCATTTTTTGTCATAAGTGACCTATATATTGACGTCATTTTCACATTATGACGTCACAAACACGGAGCAAAACATTACATGACATCTGCTATTTACAAAATATGTGTATGACCATATGTGTGCCAAATTTCATTCTGATCTGAATTGTGGTTTTGTAAATATAGAGATAGTTCGCGAACTTTTTGATCACCCCTCGTACATATATCTTACCTCAATTTCCCAGGAATCTTGTCACTGATAAAATCTTTTGTTTTATTCTACCCTTTCTTTACTTCTGTCTTCTAATGGCTTTCTTTCCGGCTAACCAACAGCCACTCAGCCTGCCAACCCCATGAAACTCTCAGTGCGGTGTACTAGTATTTTATACCATTCAGACTAGTCTATTTTAGGGGAGGACGGGTTATTCCATTTTAGCCATTAATCTAGGTCCACGCTGCGTTTTCACTAATCATTACTGTACTAAAAAGTCATTTAAATTTTCTGACCTCATGCCGGATTCATACAGAGCCTGCTTATGTGGCTATTCGTCACAGATTATACAATAATCAGATATAGAAATAGTGTTCACAAATAGTTAAAAAAACAATCTGAAAATGCTCAAAATACGGGAGGTGTGAAAATTAATCGGAAGGGGCAAATGGTCATTGATATATTGGGAGAATCATAATTTAATTAAAATGAAAGAAAAAGTGAGCAAGCTCACATACCCCACGCTCCCCCAAAACTCGACAATGCAACACGTAATGAATGGCACAGTGCATTTTAAATACACAGTATAATTCAAAAAGGGGCACTAGTTGCAAAAATCATAACATCAAAACTTCTTGCATATAAGGACATTCAAATCTTTGAATGTTACAAATTTTATTGGGCTGAAGTTTCTAGATAAATAATGGATTCAAAATTTTTTGGTAATATACAGATCTATACATTATGTCTGAAATACCTACAAAGTTTCAGGAAATTCAGTGCAGGAGTTATGCTGACAAACTGTTATTTAAATTCCTCAGTGATTTCGATTTGTTAATGAATGTAAGTCCGTCCGACACACGACAATTTACATATTTAAATAATTGATGGAAAAAAATTATGATGTAGTCATTTGAATTTGTTTATATACAGTACTTATGAAATTATTTAAGGCAAAGCACCAATTTGAGGTGGGATGGGGGAGGGGGAGGGGTGAGAACTATCCAAGATTGTGTGTGTGTGTGTTAAATCATTAATATTTTAATCTCAAAATCAATAGGGGTCTTTTAAGATCATAAAATATTTCACAAAAAATTTAATTACAAAAGCTGATTCCAGTGGATTTCCTAATTACCTAGCTTGAAAGTTTTTTCAATAATAGGCAAAACTCTTAGGGCAAAAATAACGGAATCAGAATTTCCTGGTAATATGCACATCTACACGCTGTATACTAAATATCTGCAAAGTTTGACCAAATTCTGTGCAGCGGTTTAAGAGGAGTTGCGCTGACAAACTGTTCATCTCTATATTCAAGATATGGCAAAAAATCTAAATTGAAAAGTGCCGAAATTCCCAGAAAAATTAAAGGAATTGAAATTCCCTGGTAATATGCACATCTACACATTGTGTCCTAAATATCTGCAAAGTTTGACGAAATTCTGTGCAGCGGTTTATGAGGAGTTGCGCTGACCAAAAAAAAAAACAGGACTGATGGACTGACTGACTGACGGACGGATCAAAAACATTATACCCCCTGCAACTTGTTGCGTGGGGTATAATTATAGAGAAAAAGTAAACCAAGTGAAATAAAGTCCGGATTAGCACTAGTCGGCATTTTGTGTACACGGCTGTCTTAAATGTCCGCGTATAAATAGAAATCTGAATTATTGCGCTTGGTTTAAAAATGCCCGAAAAGACAATAATAAAACTTCCATTGAAAAATAGTTAAAATCCAATAAAAAAGGCCCAAAGGAAGCAATTTCATTTGGGGCTCTATCGGATATTTTCAGCAATGTTTACTATAGTTTAGAAAAATTATTTGGGTGGACCCCCCCCCCCCCCGCGTTCGGCTTCAAAGACCATAAGAATTATTGATTATCAACATTGCAAATGATGTTTAAATTACCCTTTGTTACAACGCTAAATGTAATAACACCGCAAAATGTAAAAAAAAAAAAACAAAAAAACAAACAAACAAACAAACAACCCCCCCCCCCAAAAAAAACCCCTTGGATTATTGCATTCTGCATTATTACATTTTGCGTCGATATCAACGCAGAATGTAATGACGGAAAATGTAAAAACATACCTTTAAGGACTATTACATTTTGCGTTATTACATTTCGCGTCGATATCAACGCAAAATTTAATAACGCAAAATATAATATCACGATTTTTGAATTATTACATTTTGCGTTGCTACATTTTGCGTCGAGATTAAGCAAAATGCAACAACGCAAAACGTAATAACATACTTTTATGTCAGTCAAGTTGAGAATACTTTTCAATTGAGTAGTGGATGCAGATATTAAACGGAAAGAAAATAAAAAAGGAAAAATAAACATATGCTAATTCTTACATTAGATCTGATTTCATCATATGTTGATTTCATTATCCATCTAAAATCAGTTGATGTTCAAATCATAGGTGTTGCAAATTAGAAACGTGCGTGCACACGTGTGTAGGTGGGCGGGGGGATTCTTTGATCAGTGTATCAGTTTGCTTTCTCTTTTTTGATAGACATATGCATGAAATTTAGAAAAGAAATCTATTTTCTGGCAGGTGTAAATATATCGGGGAGGGGATTTCTTGTCAATTAAGATTTACAAATCACGTGCATTGCAGACCAGCAAAAATAAGATTTCTCTCTCTCTCAGTCTCTCCAATAATAAAATGGATAGTCTCTTCATGCGCATAAAAATACAATTATCAACATACGAAGTACCTCCCACCCACCCGCTTCTCCTCGCCAGACACACACACGTACACTTCTAATTTGCTAACCAATGTACACATGCACGTCGTACATGCATAACAAAAGCTAGCTTTTAAGGGACCCATGGTCAATCTTTGGTAAATAAGAATTTCAGTGATGGATATATAATGCAGACTGATTTATAAATAGACATGTTAATCAAAGTTAAGTTAATGTTTTATAAGTATTCAATAAAAATGTTAGAAACAGAGTTAGAAAAAATATACATTTAGAATTAGTAATGTCCGTAAAAGACGTAACGTTTGCCTCATAGTCATAGGTCTGTCTATATATATAGTAAAGCGAGTTTCCCATTGTAATATGTTTAAATCATTTTTATTATGTTTTAAGTTGAACACAATACAAAAATATAATTATGTTTTGTTTTATAACATTAAGCGTTGTCCTCAATTCAGAAATTAATTAACGCAAAATGTAACGACCAAAAAGTGCATTATTACATTTTGCATTAAGCCCAACGCAAAATGTAATAACTCAAAATGTAATAATCCAAAAATCGTGTTATTACATTTGGCGTTATTACATTCTGCGTTGATCTTGACGCAGAAAGTAATAACGCAAAATGTAATAATCCCAGTTTATTACATTTCACTTTGTTATTACATTTCACGTTGTAACAACCCTTGCAGAGTCATTCTATCCTTTCTTAGAGACGATGTGTCGTGTTAAAGATTTTCACCAACAGTGACGAACAGTGATCAATATCATGAATTTAATAAACAAAATCGAAAACAGGACAAAAACATTGACTACTTGAAATATCTGAGATGGGATAAGGTGTATCGTAGGAGCAAGCTTTCCTTGTTGATCGGCCACACCCATGTAAGCACTCTTTATTGATCAGGCAAACGGAGAAAAAAATTACACAAAGAATGGCCAGATATCTATGAAACATATCACTATCAGTCAAAAGTTGACTAAAAGACAGAATGTATTTGCAAATAAGGTCGTTATAACGACCATACAATTTGTGAAATTCTTACATTAAACAAGACTCTTGAAACTTTTTAAAATTGATTGTATATCGAATATGCTCTTGCGAACCGTAGTTATAGGAGACAAACACACCATAGACAGGTGATAGAATATTGCTACACAAATATTGGAGTTTGACGATGGAAAAACTGAAATCATCCCGTCATCCATAAAGATTAGATGTTAAGTTTCCCCTAACATCCATATTTAGCGACACATCCAGTTATATATAAAACAGTAGTGCCAGACTCTCTGGTGCCTTTTATTTCGAGCTTTGTGAGCTATATTGATTCGACATGACTGAATATGAACATTGGTAATTAATAAATCAACGTCGATAGATGTAAATGTGGAATTGAAGGTCACAACAAGCGTTTCCTCGCATACGGACGTTTTTGTCTAAATTCTGTTTCATTAAAGTGCAAAAACAGGTCGGCTTATAAAAGAGTAAAAATTTTTCCCATGCGAATTCCAACAGATCCTTGGAAAACATTATCTTCAAAGAACACATAGATAAAGTCAATGAAGAGCTCCAGCATCTTTTTAATATCTTTTTAAAAGTAATCTTGTAAATGGCTAATCGCAAGATATGAATATATCTGAGTTCCTTTAATATTAAAAAAAAAAAAAAACAGTTGTCGATGATATTTGAAAAGTTGGTCTTTAATATAGCATGAGGGATGGTTGTATAAAGTGTTGGAAAATCATACGATTTTATAGTGTTGATTTTGGGGGGAATTGATTTCAAGTTCTATAAAAGTTCTTCGACTCGATATATCCCAGTGAACGCTAAAGACACCACATCGTCTACCGTATCTTTTCATAAATATATTTAAATGTTTTACTGACTAAAGACGTTAAAGGGGCATAGACACAGATTAGAAGTTAATATATTCTCAAACTGTCTAATATATTATATCATGACTTATTTGTTGCTATAGCATTTCACACAGAAATATAATAAAAAACTTGTTTTATCTGGAAATTATTGAAACTACGAATTTATTTATAAAAACTCCAAAGAACTTTTCGAAAATTTAAAATTTTAAAAAACTTTTCAAAACATATATGACTTTTCAATGCAGTGGACAAGATAGAAAATAATACAGAGCCTTTTCCCATAAGGAAAACGATTTAAGCATGAAAATTTTGAATATGAAATGTATGGGATCAAGAAAAGACTAGTATTGAGTTTGAAGGATAGTGTCAAACATAATATTTAAGTAACCAGTTTTTCAGACTTTTCCCGGAAAGTGCAGTCTTAAAACTCTCCATATATTATTAAATGAAATGAAAAAAGATTACAGGTGCTACAAAGCAAATCTTCTTCATTGTTATTAAGTGTTGATAGAAAGGTGATTGCTACATGTATATCTTAAAACATGGATAAGAAACTGTTCAATTTGTTTAAAAGTGCGGAATGCTCTTAATTTCCCTCGTACAGACGTAACTATATTGAAATTCCTTTGTTCTACATCAGATGTTATTTGAAGGTGCACGATATTCTTATTTCTATACATTAATCTCGACAAAAATGAAAATCTACAATGAAGAGAATAATTGATCAGACTATTTTCTTTGAAAAAAAAGAACAAAAAATTGTCCATACAGTCCATGGGTATGTTGTTTTATATCATTCAATCACATCTATGTACTACATTTGTAGCTTCAAGTCAAATAGAGCCTTTTTTGTAAAAATTCATAAGCTTTTAAGTTGTATTTCTTTCATTTTTGTTTTGCTTGATTATGCTTTTTACATTATTCATCTTTTTGTTAGGTTGCTTTTCGCATGGTTTCCTACTGGGCTATCTTTTACACACAAACCTCCTTAATTTTGGAAAATTTTTAAAAAAGTATAGGAAAATTGAGGATCAACGTATAAATTCGTCACTTTTGTACAAATATTCGAACTTTGATTTATTACATGAAGCACATTTTCTACACAAAAAAGGAAAACAACAGACATAATTTTTTTCTTTTACCAACGTGTTTGTCATACCTTTATTGCTAGAAATAAGCAATGCTAATGTATATAATTGATTTGAAAATAAGTATTTTCAAAAGTTATTTTTGATATCTGTTATACTAGTATCTTTTTAAATTGTAATTTAAGAAAGTGTAATGGACAATCTGTATATTTTATTTTGAATTCCAATTTTGTCCGTAAGTTTCGATTTCTGTGCATTCCAATTTTATCAGAATGATACGTTTATCAAATGTTGAGAAATGCACGAGCGCCATATTTAGATCAATGAGTGCAGTAGTTTGTTGTGTTCTAGCTGAAAGTACCAGACATACATCACGGTAATTATATATTAATTATTTATTACATACTGTCTGCTATATGGATTTACTTGTTACATTGAATTTGAGTAGGAATTTGTCATATTATCACTGTTTACAAAGTTTAATATAAGGAGCACTTTTTGTGTCATGATTTATATTGATAAAAGGTTACATTATATGTATATTCTGTATTGAGTACAAGTATTTTTTATATTTACATTTCATTTGTAGTCAATCTATGTCAGAAACAGGGACTTTGTCATACTATGTCAGAGACAAGGACTTTGTTATACAATGCCAGAATGTGTCCATGTTAATAAAGACATTGAATTGAACCTGTGTCGTTGGTACAAGAGAACACTACAGCATTGACGTGATTCCATGAGCGATCCAGGTTATGAGCATAATGCCCGTTACAGAAGAAACAGGATCGGGAACACGAAACAGAAAATTAACAGACAAAGGAAAGGTATATAAACAAGAACAATACAATAAAACATTTAGAACACTGAAAATAACAAGTGGTGTGATAAGACAGATTATTTCTGATAATGAATCTCCAGAAACAGTAAGAAGAAAGTATGCTGCATGGCTTGAGGATTATGAGCGTTTTCTTGTTATATTTGATGAACTTGTCTCTCAAATAACTGACAAGGAGGAGAGAGAAGAATTGCTTAAGACTTATTATGATTACGATGTGTTTCTCATGAACTTTAAGAAAGAAATAGAGGAGTTCTTTTCCTACCACCAGAGTGTAAAGGAGGAATCACAAGTAGAAGCAACAAAAGAAACTGTCAGAAGCTTGAAGTCCAAGTCTCGCACATCTATAGCTACAAGTATATCATCCAAACGCCTTGAAGAAGAACAAAGAGTAGCTGAGTTAGAAGCTCGCAAAGCAGCACTTTCCCATAAGAAGGAGTTAGAGATAGCGAAAGTCAAACTAAAACTTGAAGAAGAAGAGTTGGACTTGAATACAAATATTGCTATTGCGAATGCTAAAACAGAAGTCCTTCAGAAATATGAAAGGTGTAGTGATGCTGATTTGCATGATGATGCTTCTAACATTGATATAGTGAATCCTAGAACATTAGCACCAAAACCAACGCCAAGAACGCCTTTGTTTCCGAGTGAGGTTGCATCAGTACCGTCCTTGTTTGAGAGGCCTCTGAATCCGAACGCAGAGACATTCATACCCAAACGTGAAGAAATTCCACCACTTGACCTTCATTGCCTAGATGAAACAAAACCACAGACCTCTGAATCTGATGCTATGCAGTGTGTTGTACAATACCTCCGGAAACCTGTACAAGAGATAAAAAATTTTTGAGGCAATCCATTAGAATTTAGACGTTTCGTCAGACAGTTTAATACCAAAGTAGTGATGAATACTAAAGACAATGATGAACGAATGAATTATCTTGAGCAAATGACTTTTGGGGAAGCATACAGAGTAGTGTCTGGATTTAGTCATATGTCAGGAGACAGAGCCTACAAAGCAGCTATGAATCAGCTTGAAGAGCGGTACGGAGACAGTGAGGTAATTGCAACAGCATTCATAAAGAAGGCATTAGACTGGCCAGCAGTGAAGGATGCAAAGATGCTAGATGAGTTCTCCTTGTTCCTTGTGGAGTGTCAGAACGCAGCTGAAAGCATCGATAGTGTTTCTGTCTTAGATTATTCAGACAACATAAAGAGACTTATGACAAAACTTCCTGTGTATATGCATGATAGGTGGAGAAATGTTGTACTGAAAACTAAAGAAGCCAAGAAGACAGTGAAGTTTAAAGATTTTGTAAGTTTTGTGAAAACAGAAGCTAAGAAATCGAATGATCCTACGTATGGTAATGCATCTATTGGTGGAAATTCCAGAAATCAAGATCGTAACCAGAAGAGAGCTGTTGCGTCTACTGATGTTACAAGTGAAGTACAAGACTTTAATGTACGAGAACAGAAATGTGAATTCTGTGAAAGTAGTACCCATGCACTGAATGACTGCAAGAAGTTTGTAACCAAAGGACTTCAAGACAGATACAACTTCCTGCGAAATAATGGACAGTGTTATGGATGTCTTAGGAAAGGCCACATAACTAAAAAATGCAAAGCAAGACTTAAGTGTTCCATATGCAGTAGGCGTCACCCTACGATCCTACATGATCCTGCGAAATGTGTAGCAAAACGTACAGATGAAGACAAAGAAAACATTAATCCTATGTCAACAGATATCAAAACTACATGCAAGTTCTCCAAACCTCACATCAGTGCCTTTAGTGATAAAGGGGCCGGAGAAACAACCTGTGCTATGGCAATAATTCCAGTGAGAGTAAAACTGAAAAATAAACCGTATAGCATAGAAACTTATGCATTCTTTGACTCTGGCAGCAGTGTGTCATTTTGTACAGAAAACATAATGCATAGGCTTGGAGCAAATGGCAAGAAGAAACAAATCACCAATGGGGAATTCTCAGAGGTTGAACACATATGTTATCAGTGGTTTGCAAGTGTGTGGACTTTCAATGGAACATGTGATTGATCTACCGAATGTGTATACAAAGGAACATATGCCTGTATCAAAAGAACACATTCCAACGCAGCAAGAGTTAAAACAGTGGCCACATCTGTCAACAATTCAAACATCAGAAATAGATGCAGAAATTGGAATTATGATTGGAAATAACATACCAGATGCCTACTCTCCATTGGAAGTAATTGCTGGGCCAAGTGGTTCTCCCCACGCAACAAGGACACGACTAGGATGGATAGTATGGAATGTCATAAGAGAAAATGCATCAGATACATTTGACATAAACAGAGTAGCTATAGAAGATGCTCAGGAAAGAGACATAAACTTAGAAAAGATGGTGAAAGATTCCATAAACTATGACTTTCCAGAACGTCTTGTGGATGATGTAAAAGAAAACTCTTTAGAAGATAAGAGCTTCTTAACTCAAGTTTCAGAATCTATTCACATTCAGGATGGTCATTACTCAATTGGACTTCCGTTTAAGGATCCCTTAATTCAGTTACCCAACAATATCATGCAAGGATTTCAGAGACTTGGGAGTCTAAAGAAGAAACTGATAAAGGATCCAAAGGTTAGAAATGACTATGTGACTTTTATGAATAAGCTGTTTGAGAAGGGATATGCAGAACCTGTTCCTCAAAGTCAGCTACAAAGAGATGATGGCAGAGTATGGTACCTACCGCACCATGGAGTTTACAACGATAAAAAACCAGGGAAAATTAAAGTTGTGTTTGACTGCTCTGCAGTGTATATGGGGATTTCACTAAACAGCCAGTTACTCCAAGGACCCGATCTAACAAATGGTTTACTTGGTGTACTTTTAAGATTTCGTCAGGAGAAAATTGCTATACAAGGAGATATTGAGGCTATGTTTCACCAAGTATTAATCCCTGAACAAGATCGAGACTGTTTAAGATTTCTGTGGTGGAAGGATGGCAATCTGGATGCCAACCCTGAACAATACAGAATGAAAGTTCACATCTTTGGAGCCACTTCCTCTCCAACTTGCTGTAACTATGCACTACAACAGACAGCTAAAGAATATGGTTCCGACTTTGATCCTACAGTGGTGACCACAGTACTCAAGAATATGTATGTAGATGACTATTTGGCTTCGGTTGACACAGAGAAGAAAGCGGCCTTACTCATTAAAGATCTGTCTACACTTTGTAGCAAAGGTGGTTTTCATCTGACAAAATGGGTTAGTAACTCAAAACAAGTCTTAGAATCTGTTCCAGAAGATGATCGAGCTAAAGATGTGCAGGAATGGAACCTCGAAGGTGAAAGTGAAACCCTTGTAGAACGTGCACTAGGTGTGTACTGGCTTGTTAACAGTGACCATTTAGGATTTCTGATAAACATTAAAAATCAGCCAACAACCAGAAGAGGAATTCTATCAATAGTGAGCTCAATATTTGATCCTCTTGGTATCGTGTCACCTTTTGTGATGACAGCAAAGACACTTCTTCAAAAAATGTGCAAAAATTCAATTGGATGGGATGAAGAGATTAAAGGAAGTCAGCTTAAGGACTGGAAAAATTGGCTGACACAAGCAAAAGAACTTGAAAATGTAACACTTGAAAGATGCTACAAGCCACAAGACTTCGGGAGGACGACATGTCAGGAGTTGCACTGTTTTGCAGATGCAAGTGAAGTTGGAATAGGAGATGTTATATATCTACGACTCATCAGTGAGACTGGACAATTCCACTGTTCCTTTGTTCTTGGAAAGTCAAGAGTGGCACCGTTAAAAACAGTGACAATACCGAGGCTTGAGTTGACAGCATCAACTTTAGCAGTGAAATTATGCAAGATAGTTGCAAAACAATTGGAATATCAAGTTGATCAAGTTTACTTCTGGACAGATAGCATGTCAGTTCTTCGTTACATAAATAACACAAAAACTCGTTTTCAATTATTTGTTGCCAATAGGCTTGCCATAATTCATGCAGCAACTACAGTCAACCAGTGGCACTATGTCAACTCTAAAGATAATCCAGCAGACTCTGCGTCAAGGGGAATACCAGTAGTAAGTAGATTTCTTGACTCCGCAGCATGGTTCAGTGGTCCTGAGTGGTTATGGAAAGCAGATGTTTCATGGCCGTCTACTGAAATCATTAGCGACTCATCAGAAATTGACAGTGCTGAAATAAAGGACAGCGTCAACACAGCAGTTGAAACAGAAACAGTAGAAGGAATGGAGAGATTACTCCAGCACTTCCCTTCCTGGAAAAAGCTGAAAACAGTGACTGGATGGCTACTCTTAGCGCGAGAAAACCTCAAAGGAATAATGAAGAGGAAAAGAGAATGGAGATCAAGAATGATATCGGAGGGATTGACAGAAGAGAAAATACAAGAATTAGAAATGAAGGAAAAGCATAACAGATTGAAAAATGATACACAAAGACCTTCATTAAATGTAGACATTCTTGACAGAGCAGAAACAGACATTTTGAAGTATGTGCAGATGAAGCATTTTGCCCAAGAATTTAAAGACTTGAATTCAAGTGAAAATGGAGTTGTTAAAAGGTTATCAAGATTAGCCAAGTTAGACCCAATTGTTCACAATGGAGTTCTACGTGTAGGCGGTAGACTTAAGAAACTGGATACAACTCTTAACAGTAAACATCAAATTATTATTCCCAAAGAGTCTGTATTAGCCAGGTTAATAGCAGAGGAAGCACATAAATCTGTCGGACACTTGGGAAAAAATTCAACGCTGGCACTTATTCGTGAGAAATATTGGATTCTTGGTGTGTCATCAATTTTGAAGTCCATCATTTCCAGATGTGTTATATGCAGAAGATATCAGGCACCTACTTTGAAACAGAAAATGGCAGACCTTCCCAGCGAGAGACTGAAACCTGATGACCCCCTTTTTACTCGAGTGGGAATGGATTATTTTGGTCCATTTGAGCTTAAAAGAGGAAGAAGCATAGTAAAACGGTACGGTGTCATATTTACTTGTCTATCTTCCCGAGCAGTACATTTAGAGGTTGCCTTTTCCTTGAATACAGACTCCTGTATTGACGCCATTCGAAGGCTTATTGCACGACGAGGAAAACCAACTTATATAGTGTCTGATAATGGAACGAATCTGGTAGGTGCTGAACGTGAGCTAAGAACAGCACTTCATTCCTGGAATACGAACAGCATTTCCAGTCAATTATTACAGTCAGGAATTGAATGGAGCTTTAATCCACCGGCTGCGTCTCACTTTGGAGGAGTATGGGAACGCCTCATCAGGATAGTCAGGAAAATCATGTATTCTGTTCTACATGAACAAACAATTCATTTGGATGATGAGGGACTGTTAACCTTGTTTTGTGAAATTGAAGCTATTATGAATGGACGACCCCTTACAGAAGCTTCAGATGATCCGAATGACCTTTGTGCACTTACACCAAATCATATACTACTCATGAGATCAGGAGAGAGCTTTCCCCCTGGAATTTTCCATACATCTGACAACTACGCAAAACGTCGATGGAAGCAGATTCAGTATTTGGCTGATGTTTTCTGGACACGTTGGATCAGAGAATATGTACCCCTTCTCCAACAGAGACAGAAGTGGCTGAAGCAGGAAAGAAACTTACAAGAGGGTGATTTAGTTCTCATTGTGGAAAACACTCCAAGAAACGCATGGAATCTTGGTAGAGTGCTCGAAGTGATAAAGGACAACTATGATGTTGTGCGTGTTGCAAGGATAAAGACAGTGTCTTCCATTATTACGCGGCCAGTGACAAAACTTTGTCTTCTTTTGGAAACAGATTGTGAAAAAGAGAAAACAAATCAGTGAACCTTTGTGCAATGAAACGTTTAATGAATTAACTCATTTTGAATACATTGTTTTGTCCATTTTTGATAAATATGTTTTTGTAAAAACACATTTAGGGGCCGGTGTAATGGACAATCTGTATATTTTATTTTGAATTCCAATTTTGTCCGTAAGTTTCGATTTCTGTGCATTCCAATTTTATCAGAATGATACGTTTATCAAATGTTGAGAAATGCACGAGCGCCATATTTAGATCAATGAGTGCAGTAGTTTGTTGTGTTCTAGCTGAAAGTACCAGACATACATCACGGTAATTATATATTAATTATTTATTACATACTGTCTGCTATATGCATTTACTTGTTACATTGAATTTGAGTAGGAATTTGTCATATTACCACTGTTTACAAAGTTTACTATAAGGAGCACTTTTTGTGTCATGATTTATATTGATAAAAGGTTACATTATATGTATATTCTGTATTGAGTACAAGTATTTTTTATATTTACATTTCATTTGTAGTCAATCTATGTCAGAAACAGGGACTTTGTCATACTATGTCAGAGACAAGGACTTTGTTATACAATGCTAGAATGTGTCCATGTTAATAAAGACATTGAATTGAACCTGTGTCGTTGGTACAAGAGAACACTACAGAAAGTTTATTATAAAACAACATTGTTTTACTAATGAACAGCCACAGCAACATTGAAAATAACAAAATATAAAGAGTTGTACTGCATGCTGAAATAATTGATACCCAAAGTTAGAGCAACATACTGCAGTCTTCATAAGTACATATAAAATATGTTACTTATGTATTTATATGTACTTATTTTCATAAGTACATATGATATATGTTGTTACATGTACCATGCAAGAATCTTCGATTAAAGATCAATTTAAGCATCATGATATGAATCCATGAATTTAAATAGAATTATATTTCTTTTCTTCATTTTTAATATTTTAAATTTATGCATGTCGGAACACCTTAAAAACAGACTTTCTATAGAGAATCACTAGAGAGATTCAAAATATCTATGATCACATCATGTTACGTTGAGCATCACTTCCTTTCATAGTTCGTAGGGAATTCCTTTGAAGATTAATTTAAATGTATTACAAATAATTTATCTTTCCTTGGAACTTTGGTAAATTCGTGTCCAAATAATATTCATTCCTATCAGTAAGAATGTGACGTACGATATATCTTGCATTTTAAAGTTCAGTAAATTATGTAAAAGAGTAATCTTTTCAGATACATTTTCTGATTAAAATTTCCGCACTTTAAATATGTTTATTGATGATCACAATTGAAGTCCATTGTTTTGATATATGATATGAAATTAACCACGTTTCTTTGAAATATTTTGTCTATATCATTAATAGTGTCCACGGCAAAACAAAAAAGTATATATCATTAATATCATTACCGGATATCTGTTTGTTTCCTAAATCGTGCTTACCTTATTAGTCCCCTACCGGTGAAACCGGAGGGGACTATAGGTTTCCTCTGAGTCTGTCTGTCCGTCTGTCTGTCCGTCTGTCTGTCCCTCTGTCTGTCTGTCAGTCTGTCCCACTTGGTTTTCCGCACTTTTTTCCTAAACGCTTGCAGATATTGAGTTGATTTTTGGTATGTGAGGGTATCTTGATGAGTTACAGATCAAGTTTGCATTTCGTTCCGCTTCATTGATTTTTGACGGAATTACGGCGTTTTCAATTTTTTGGGGGTTTTCCGCAATTTTCTTCTAAACTCTTGTAGATATTTAGCTGATTTTTGGTATGTGGCTTTACCTTGATTAGTTATAGATCAAGGTTGCATTTCGTCCCGCTTCATTAATTTTTGACGGAATTATATCATTTTCAATTCTTAACGGGAACGGAACCAGATTACACTTGCCGGTAGGGGACTAGTATTGCTAATGCAATACTCTCAGAATGCTTGTTGTAACGTGTAATTATGTTAACAGACGGAAATCTTTGATCAACCTTTGAAAAGGTCAACCATAATTATTTAAGGCTGAAGTGTTGCAGCTCAATCTCTTAACGCTGTTTATGCTGTCGATCATTAAGCGGCAACGTATACTAGTAATTAACGGTTGATACACTATCTGTCTTTTATTTTGACAGTTTTAAATCTTTGCACCGAATGTACAGTAAAATGAACTTTATGCAAAGCCATCTCCTAATGACTTACAGTCATGTGAACAAGTGGGGACACATACACATTTTGGCTTTATTTATTCGAAATGAAAGCTACATTGTAATTGATTTACGTAAAAGCAAATTTAGCTTACGTCTTTTTTTTATGTTAAGCAAAGGAATTTAAAACTGACCGCAGCCATACATTCTCTTATGCTTCATAAACACTAATTTTGTACAATATAAGCATTCAAAGTTTAAGTGTGCGCTTGAGTTTACGCGTGATTTAAAGAATGTATATATGTTATTAATGTAATTTTTAACCCTTCACTGACCTTCTACTTTGCTTGAACAAATATATTGTTCACCGTAAAATTGTACTTCCTTATTCATGGATCGAGATGTAAACAAGCAATTAGAGGAAAGTACATCCCGAGAATGTCTTAGATATTAACCTATAAGTCATACAACAAAAGCAGATATTGTACTAATCTATGTCAACAAAGAGATTCAATATGACAATTAATCACGTATAGGAAAAATTAGGGTAGGGACATCTATATAAGTTATATTCGATATTTTCAATTTTTGTATTAACGTCTTACGGGAATATAGAACAAAACACTATATATTTTTTGATGAGAAGATATCAAAATTCATTGCTTTTGAGTATGGTTCAGCCGTTCACAAACACTACCAACACGAGTTTTACGGTTTCCACCGACCAGTCAGTTGTTGACAGTGCAAATCCAGAGCCGGTCACCACCATCAGCTGGTGGTCATGGGTAGTTGTTTCTGTCGTGGTTGTGGTTTTAGTGGTACTGGTCATCGTAATTTTTGTTTGTGTTTGGAAATATCGGCATCGGTAATACTTTGAGAAAATACAATCTATTATTTTTTGTTGGATAGACGGTAATGATTTTTTCGTTTAGTGAAATATAAATCTAAGCCATGAAATACAGTCATAACGTCCTTAACTTTTCAAATCTTTATCATCTATTCAAGGTCACTCGAAAGAAAGGATTCAACAAACATCAGAGATAATAAACTCTATAGCGTCACTGGAAACAACCTAGTTAATGTAAGTACAGTCTATACTGAAAATGTTTAAACTCCAAATAATGCTAGAAAGTTAACAAAAAGTTTATACCTTTTTACTCCTCTTTAGGAGACCATCTATTCAAATGTGGGCTATATTCCGGACATCATACCGGATTTGGATCGGCAAGTGGCGCCCAGGAATTACAAATACGACTACGTCCGGAGAATTGATTGGGACCATTTGATGGGTGCTGAACAGAAAATGCAGCAAATAACACAAAACAAGTTATGTCCCCAAGAAACTTACGTCAATACGTCTGAGAAATATGGACGTGGTGATTCAGAGGACGATTCAAAACAATATCATAATATTTTTAGTGAAAACAAGTCCATAGAAAGGACCAAAGAAGAATATACCGATGTAGTTACAGAGTTAGAACACTGCAAAATGCATCACTCATATGTAGAAATGAGTGAAGAAAATGACATGGGTCTTTACAATAAATTAAACCATGGAACCCGGTCAGTTCGCCGTACTGAGGTGGAGGACATCACGTACAGTCATATTCAGCCCGAGTCTGAGGGTGAGTATACAATTCTGTGTGGTGGGGAAGTCTTGGACATAAAGATCTACGAAAACCAACCGGAAAAGTGGAGCTCTCAACCTTAGAGTCATACTTCTACAGCTGAGTTCTGTGTGTCGAAGAACCTTATCACGGATGTTATCAAATAACTTTAAAATTAAATATTGAATATGTATTACCTTTATCTTTCAATTTAAAATAAACATAAAAGCGAAGCCATAAAACAATATACCACTACTTTATGCATACATATATTTTATAAACTCAGTGAAATTAAACAATTTGGATATGCTTATTTGTTTGCTCATGCATTTATATATATTTTTGATATATGAAACCAAACTGCAAACTTATAATACATCAACAACAGATGTAGAAGGCGTTCTCTTTCTGGTCTTCACACCATTTCAGCTGCCCAAGCACAATTTTAATTGCACCATTGAATGTCTGCAAAAGATAAAGTAACGAATCATTACTGAATATTTTAAAAAAATGTGCATTTTGTGATAAAAGCAAGGGATTTGATAGAACATTAGAACTCAGAAAGTGGTTAGAGCTGGGGGCAACTGAAAAGAGGCTGTCCAAAATAGAGTGCGGTAGAGGACTGTTGCCGAGACCTTTTTTTCAAAAACTAGATGTCAAAATTCACAAAAACATCAGGAATCTCTGTCTTTCTCTCTCTCCACTTCCCAAGGAAAGCATGCCTAAGGCGACAAAATGCGCAAAATATAATGTCTTCGACGGCAAAATGTGCATATACGAAAGGTACTCTATGTTGCCCATGCTCAGTTAAGATTGTCTATTGTCTGTAGAGTCAAGATGGATGAAAAGAAAAGTTGAAGAAGTTATCATGGTCTCAAGTACCAAAAACTGAATGTCGGTAGACCAAGAATTTTGATACAATCTTCCAAAAAGAATATTAGAACATTTTCTCACCTTTGCATACTTCAGTTGAATGTTGTTTACAAGTTTTTGATAAAAATAAAAGTGGCGTGACCTTGACCTGTACAACAACATCGAAACGGTAGATAGAACCTTTGTTTTTCCGGCACTTATATTGTGCAGTCTTTTCTTGCTTTACAGTGCAGTTCAGTTGTCATATCTTCGCTATACTCTTAATTTTCATAAATCTTTCGCTTCATGATACAGATATCTTAAAAGAAACATATGATTTTGACTCATTATGTAACCTTAACATTTTGTGAGGAGTAAAGAGAGTGGCTTAATTGGTAGAGCATTTACTTTACCCAGCAATGTATCTTTACTTGTAGGGATTTTTATGAAGTTTAGCAATTCAGTATAGGTGGGTAGATCAAATTGACCTGATTGACTGGAATTTTGTAAAAGTATTACATATTAAAATGTGATTTTGAAGAATTTCTTCCCCAGAAAGCGAACTCTGAGTATACGTCGGATTTCCATATGTAGAATTATAACCAAGTTCTTGTAAAATACAGTTATATATAATAATGAGCTTTACAAACAAAGACGATATTACTCCAAGCCTTGTCGGCTGAAACCATAACTTATTGTTCATGTAGTCTTTCTAATTCTTTGACACCTCCGATTTTTTGAAAACGAAAGGGCAGATGGTTTGCATATTGCCTTTTAACTTTCTAAACGATTCTATAATATATTTCTAAAACACTTAATCCATTCTGACAAAGTGTTCAGGTCTTCCCTTTCATATTTAGATCAAACGTCTGGCATAATCTTCGGCGGTCCGTGTAACACTTAACAATTCAAACTAAGACGATTTAGAGTTTTAGAATTTTAATATATTATTTCGATTTTCTAAATTTTAAAAACTCAAACTGATTTCGTATATTGAAATTTAATATTTTAGCTCAAAAATCTAAATTTTCAAATTTCCAAACAGGTTTTAAAATTTAATTTTTTTTTTTTTTTTTTTTTTTTTTTTTTAGACTTTTACCTTAATTATCCAAAATTCAAATTTCCATATAAAATGAATATGATGATTTATTTAGAATAAATCAAAATTCACAGATTATAAAGACGTCATTGTGGCATTTGGAACATTCAAAGATAAAGTAAAATGCGCTGAATATTCAAGGTTGTGTTCACTAAAACTGACCAAAATTATTCCTAATATAAGTTTAATGTATTTTCATGGGAAATTCTTTGCATTGTGCATTTTGAAATGTATAATCTGGTAAAATTTCTTGTGATCTAAAACAGATTGATAAGTTTCTATTTACATTCATTTTACTTTACATTCTAATAAATTTATACAAAAGTGCATGCAAAATAATTTCAAAAGAATACTCCCATCAGTTATATTGAAACATAAAGGCAAAGTTTTGATTACCCATTCCTTTATCATAATTACATACAAACATTATTATTGGGGAAAAAATCACCTTATATTTTACAATGTTACATTAATTTTTTTTTATCAAATATTCATGAAATGAATAGGTACTTTCAACTTGTGGATCTTCGATTGTAATGATATCCTAAGCGGCATCATTGTTCAATGCTGTAAGATTAACTGTTTATCCTATAGTTTTCAGTTTCAGCATTTCATTCCTTCCCAGAAACTATATCGTTGTACTCCGAGAAATGATAGTTGTCTGTGGAACTATACTCAAATTCCATGGAAGCACTTATTCCAGCCACATTCTGGCCTGATGATGCAAGGAAAGCAGTATCATCGTACCCTACCTTGACATCTGAACATTTGTTGTATGGGGAATTCAAATCTTGGACATTTTGTTTGCCTTTACAAGAGAAAGAATGGTCTGATCCTAGGGTAAGAGATCTTTCTCGCATTTGGCTTGATGCTTCAGTTTTCAAAGTATTGTCATATATCATGTCATTTTGTTGTATAACTGTCAGTGGTTTTCTCTTCAGACGTATCACAATGGCATATGTACATGGAATGCCAAAGTCTTGATTCTCCACTTTAATTAAAAACAATGAAAGTTTCATGATTTATTTTTACTAGTCACTTATTTTGAATTTTATTTTTTTTAATGTTAAACTGTTAAAACTTTTGTGTAGTACGTCTGACTTGTATGTTAGTATATGGAGAGAGAGAGAGAGAGAGAGAGAGAGAGAGAGAGAGAAATTCTGCCGGTTGTTGTCGCCATCTGGTACTTGGACTGTGCATTTTCTGGTAAACCTGCATAAAGGATTTTGTTGAACATTTTATACAACTACAAAAACTTAAAACACGTATCATGCTGTTAGCATATGAATGGGAATTTTTTAAACTACTTTTTTTTAATTGAGAAAATTAGAGCAATCTTTTACATTGTATCAAAGTCATTGAACTATTGCTTGACACCAGTGTAGAATGTTGGAGAGGTATTTTCTAATTTTAGTGGTTGTCATGTTGCTACAAAGGTTTTATTTGATGACATTCGAGAAGTTTTCATATGATCCAACGTATAATGATAATATACTCATGTTTTGTGATGAAACGGACTTTTTTATATTCATTGAGTGTTCATTATAGAATTTAGGTCTTACTAAAATTAAACTAAATTTGCAAATAAGAAATGTTTAACGAAGCCTAATTAGTATGGGAAATATTAACTATGACGTCACATGAAATTAACAATCTTTAAAAATACTACAAAATGCAAAGATATGTTAAATGAATGAAAAACTGGAAGGTGATTTTGAAGAATTTCAGCTTTTGAAAGGGAACACTGAGTATAGGTTACATTTCCTAATGTAGAATTAAAACCGAGTTCTTCTAAAATGCAATTGAAATAATGAGCCATTCAAAGAAGACTCATATTGTTACAAGCTTTGTCAGCTGGAACCAAAACATATTTTTCATGTAAGCTTTGTCTTGTTACGGATGTCTCCAATTATATTTCCCTTACTCACATTTGTATTAAAAATAGAAATATATAAACTACAAACACATGTCGTAAATAAGTCGTTAATTTTCTATTTCAATACCAGATTATGCGTAATCAGCGTTTTATTAGTCTTTAAAGAAATTATTGACGTAAGATTAAAATCCATTGATATTCGGAAGGCATAAAAAGGCGAAAAATGATTTAAAAAAATAATTGATTTCTACTTTCAGTTTAGGTCACTTCAATTTAAAAAGATATTTTCCTTAATACTGTTTACGTACTTTTTTCCGCGGGGCCATACATTCTGTTCAATCCGCAGGTAGAAAATTACGCGGATTTCTTGTATTGCAATTATCTGTCTTAACTGCTCTTTAAGTACATGTATGCTGTGACAAATTTCTGCGGAAAATCTGTGACCATGTAAATAGCGTGAATTGATTCCACTTGAAAAAAGTAAGTCTACAGTTATTAAATGAATTATATTTTTTAAATATTAAGCTGACAATCCACAACAATCAAAGTAGTCATCACGATGGCCGATATCAGCCTGTACATATTATGACTGGTATTGAAATTTGTACATTGACATATACATTTTTCAATGCCAATGCACACTTCGTGCTTTTACATTTTATCTGTGCATGTACAGAATGACAAAAATGCAAATGTCAAAAAATGGACGTATAAAACACATACCCTTTTCCTTACAATTTCTAGTCAGCAAAGACCATTAAATATGAATAGAATTCAACAAGGCACCTTGAAGAGTCTTAGAGTTAAAAAGTTAAAAGACAATGCTATAAACCTCGTATATTATAGAAATGTTATAAAACTATAATTTAACATCAATCTACTTAAAAATGAAACTTCAATTGTCCCCCACAATTATTTCTTTGAACCTCCTTGTCAATAAACTGCCCTACCCCTCCCGATAATGATTACTATATGGAAAATACATGTATATGTACACTCCTTTGGTTTTATTCATAAGTTTAAGAAAGCACTAAAGGTCACAAAAACTGGTTTCCATGAGTAAGAGACATGTAGAAATATCTTAAAAGATTATGGCCTTTGAAGTTTTATAAAATCAACATTTACTTTGTATTTCATTTACTGAGTAATTTTAAAAATACATATAACTGACTCTTTCTCTTCATTGATAAGTTTCTTTCAACTTTCACATTTCATAGCTAAATCATTCATATTATAAATACATTTGTATTAAGTAAACATATATACTTCAACACATTTTACGTAAAGAATAAAGTAGAAGAGAACGAAAGTAGGAGGATTGTGAATGAATAAAAAATATTGATAAAGATGACAATATGCAATTAATAATTCAACAAATGAAGAAATCAATAAAAATCTTAAAAATTCAAAAGAAATGTTATCCAATATGAATTATACCTCTGTTTTCATACAGAA